TACACATACACACATACACATACACACATACACATACACATAAACACACTGCAAAAACTGGTTTTGCATTTCTCCTTTAACCTCTTTCGCGCAACGTCTCTGCTTAGTGTATATTTCTTATGGGCAACGGTTGAGTGCGTCGTCTCTCTCTCTCTCACTCTCACTCTCATATGAGCAATAGAAATAGAATTGTTGGTGAGTATTCGAAATATTGAAATGACGAGAAAAAAATCTTATGATAGTGGGAATCGAACTCGAAGCTACTGCAATCCAAAAACCAATGACCAATGACCAATGCTCTAACCGCTGAGCTACAACGTTCTTTACTAAATGTATGGAAAAAGTTGGTATATATGCGTTTCTGGTAACATTTCTTCGTTACATACAAACGAAGTAAAAAAACTACCAAGCTTTCAAAATGTAAACAAATGAACTTAAAACGCGCCCACGTCTTACCTTTAAATTATCAGAAAACTGGTTTGGAGGGGAAACAACGAAACAATAAAATGAACGTTTGTGCTTAGACGTGTATTTCTTATGGTCAGCGTGCGAGTGGTTTTGCATTTTTGTCTCTCCTCTATCCGCTATGTATTTTGTTGTTGTTGATGGGTACGTTTTGAGTGTGTGAAGAAAATAAGTCTACGGAGCTTTCAAAATGTAAACAAAAGATCATAAGACACCATAGTTGCATATGATACAAGATTGTAGAAATCACATGTGAAGTCAAATCAAAATGTAAATTTGTGAATGAATAAATGACAACAACAACAGATTAATTTTATATGATTGATAATAATAAATTTTTATTAATCATGTTGAAAGAAAAAATATATTTGTTATTTTATGAACCCAACACCATTAGTTAAAAAAAAAAAAATTGATGAATATGATTAATCATCGCAAAATACAAATATTACTATGATATTCCCACAAAAATTGTTTCATAACATCGGTCTCAGTTGCATTACATAGAACACATGTGTCTTCAGATATTTTATAACCACATTGAATATGATTTCTGTTTTTGAGTCCAAAAATGCATTTGCAAACTACTCTGAATTTTGGTGAAACATTATCATTTCTTTTTAAAAAATACTGGAATAAAAACTTGATTAATAGAACATCATAAAATCTAAATGTTTCGTGACAAGTGTTACTGAAAAGTAAGTCTTTAAAATTTTCTTCTATCATATCTAATATGGATATATATATTAATGTTTTTTCTGAATTGAGAAATTTCTCTGCAGCTAGTTGCCGTAAGGTGTGTGGTTTATGTTTAGGTTTGCATATTTGCATTCTGTCTACAATTCTCGTTTCATAAGAAATATCAATAACTCGAACATTTTTAATGTAAATAAATGAATTTTCACATTTATATCTAGCTTTTCTACTGTTACCAGTCATTGCTTTAAAACATTTAGTGGGAATTCTATTGATATTTATTGATTGTTTTGTTTCATATTTCTGAATAACATGTAATGTTCTTAAAAGATTATACATTTGGTATATGACTTAAAAAACCTTCACCGTAAATTTTTTGCAATATGGATATATAATGTAGTGAACAATGTATCAATATTTTTTTAAAATCAGAATTCAAATGAACATAATCATTAGTTCGATATTCGAATCTTTTAAAGTTCATCCTTTCTGGATACATAGTTGGAGAAATCATTGGGTTGGAATAAAGGGAAACAAGTTCCTCATCATCAATCAAGGCGTCCGCGTTCATTTTATATCTATGTAGCTGCTCGGCGTCTATATGTATTGGAGTAATACGCATGAAATGAAGTGATGCCAACCAATAATCAATCCGGTAAAGATATTCCATGTAGACTGTACATCAAAACGTACTGAGTACGTTTACGCTAAAAAATGCCAAACTTTATTTTGGCATTGTTAGATTTTAGCTATTGACATTATTGACACTTTGCCAATTCCCTAAATATAAATAGTGCCCCACGTAACTTTTCGAAACGAGTTTTCTGAGGTATTTGCTATATAATTATATAGCTGGCAAAAACGCCGAAAAGCATACTTAGGCAATAGTAGGCAACAATAGTCGATAAAAACGACGAAAATCGACAAAGTGAACATTAATGAAAAACGACGCCTAAGCGTGCCTAAGTTTGTCTAATATTGCCTAAGTGTGTCTAAAGACGGATACCGACAATAATGACATTTACGGATTTTTTTAAAAATATGGCAATATCTCGCCCAATTTCCAACCAAATTCAATAAAAAAAGCTTTGGTAGCTTTTCGCCAATATTCTCATTTTTCACTTCTTTAGCGTATATATAGAATTTCCCAAAAATTCATATTTTCATATGAATTTCGGGTATTGCGTCACTTGGTGGACTACCGCCCACCGTAATACTGACTCCATGAGAATTAAGATAGTCAGTGCTCTTTTATTGGGTGTGCAACTTAAAAAAGACCGTTTTTTTTCAAAATTTGTAGCTTTACTGTGAAAAACTTTACAATCTTTTTTATTCAAAGTATTGTCCATCGGAAGATGTGACTTTCTCTCACAATTCAGGCAATTTATGGATTCCGTTCTAAAAAAAATTCTCGTCTTTTGAGACCAGGAACGAATCGAACGAACACCACATAACTAAATAAAGGAAAATAAGCGAATGAACGAACGAAAAAAAATAAACGTAAATCCGATTCCAAGAGGAACATGGAACATGGCAGGCTAAAAACTCAACTCGAGAATTGTTTTTTATAAATTGCTTGTTTTTTTTCGTTGGCACACACTGTGACTGTGTCAGATTTTTTCCAGTCCAATCATTTCGGTTTGTCACTAATCAAAGAATTTAATTTGTGACTTTTAATGCTTTCGAAAGAAGTTTTTTATATGATATATTTTACAGTTATCAGTTACAAAATTTATGGAAATATACAGAGCTTGAAATGATTATAATCATGATTCATCGATTATGATTATGATTATTTTAAATCGAAATAATGAATTGATTATTTTTTCTTGATTGAAAATAATCAAAAATCATGGCTTGATTATGATTTAAATCAAGAAATAAATCGATTGATCTATGATTATTGGCGCACCATATATCCGTGTGAACAAGCCTCCACTTCATTTACGAACTGCAATGATTTTTACTGAACTCAAATGTACACATTTTGCTATCGTTGTTAATGTTTTCTCATTATTGTTGCACATTTTGATCATATTTAATTTTTTTTTACACAAAATTATAATAAATTATGAGTGAAAGACACATGCGCTGTAAAAATGTATATTTTGAATGTTAAAATGTCATCAACAGCTGATCTGTCAAACATCAAACTTGCGAGTGAAGTACTTGTCAAAGTGAGGGCTTGTTCACGCGGATATATGGTTGACAAATAATCATAACACAATCGATTTATTTCGTGATTTAAATCATAATCAAACCATGATTGTTGATTATTTCAATCAAAAAAACAATCATTTTTGAAAGAAATCATGATTAATAATCAAACGCTCATTTTGATTTAATCAAAACGCATGATTTTATGATTGTTCAAACTCTGGCAATATATAATTTTTACAATGTACATCAACGCCTGCATTTTCTCGTATAAATATGGTGTGATTAACCAACGATGTGAAGACTGATGGTGATACACGTTCTGCAAGATCATCTTCGTAGTCAAAGCTCATGATTCCAGTTGCATATTCGTTGTACAGGTAATTAAACATAAGTGGAGAACCTGTAAAATTGAATTCAAAATTTCGTTAACACACCAAAAAAATCTTATCATCTTCAATTTACTAACCAGAATCTCCCTTTTCGATCTGATCATCTTTATTTTGCCTAGTAGTACAAATTATTTTCTCCAACTCGTTACAGTGCTCCCTTTTCACTTTAGTGAGAAACATTTTATAAATATTTTCACGAAAATCTCGTCTTAGCTTGAAATCATTTATTCGACTGATAATACGTAGAGATTGACCAATGTCATCGATGCACCTTAAAGTTACACAAGCTACTT